TGGCTGGTCCTTGGCTGGTCCTTGGCTACTCCCTGGCTGGTCCTTGGCTGGTCCTTAGCTGGTCCTTGGCTGGTCCATGGCTACTCCCTGGCTGGTCCTTGGCTGCTCCCTGGCTGGTCCTTGGCTAGTCCTTGGCTGGTCCTTGGCTGGTCCCTGGCTGGTCCTTGGCTAGTCCTTGCCTGGTCTTTGGCTGGTCCTTGGCTAGTCCCCTTAGCTGGTCCTTAGCTAGCCCTTGCCTGGTCTTTGGCTGGTCCTTGGCTGGTCCTTGGCTTCTCCTTGGCTACTCCCTGGCTGGTCCTTGGCTAGTCCTCTACAGTTCCTTTTTAAACATCTACAATGTTATTTCTGTCATGATTTGTGGACATTACGATCTAAAGAGAAGCAACATCTCCTGGTCAGACCCTGTAATTCATTGAAAGGGTGGAGTCACAGTAAAAAAAAATATGCACGCCCGTGAGAAGGTCAGTGGCTGGAAGTTGGAGGAGATATTGCTGCCCTTTGGCTAGCTTTTGACTGGGAAGGGCCATTTTGAATGGCTGCTACTGTAGCTCTCATACTTGCAGGAAGACACACTTTAATTGTCTGTGTTCTCATCAGCAGTGCAGCAGGTGGGTTCTGCTCTCCTGCCTCCTGTTCTGGCTGATCTCCAACCCTGCAGAGCTGTTCATAATACATCCTAGCTGTTGCTGCATACAACACTTGATCGCAGAGATGGATACTTTTACATTGTCACACATGTGGTTTCTGTTTAGCATAATTGCTCCATCTTGCTTTTATCAGGTCCTGACTGTGTGGATAGTCTGACCTCAGATTAGCATCATCTGTGTTGCTTTATCTCCTTATACATGTTACCAAAGGTAACTGTTGCACAACACTTTGAGCAATTCATGTTACTGTGTTGCAGGCAATGCTGACCTCTGACTTTAAAGGCTTTTTACACCGGTAGCAATATTCCTCTAAATCCCAATTCCTCAAATCAAATGGATTTCTCTGACTGTGATCTGATTCCAGAAACATTTAGAGGCATATCCAAGCATAGATATGTTTTCATTTTTACTGAGAGGATGGTTCTTTAATGTTTTAGGTTCATAAAGGATCAGGGGGGGGCATACTGTGGGGAAAAAAAGTTGTTGAACTTACAGGTGAATCACTGAACGAGCAAGACATGGAGTATTAATGCGAGTTAACAGGAGCTATAAGAAAGGTATAAGAATAAGAACAAAAGAACTGTGTAAATCATTGATTTGACAGTGGAGAAAGATATTGGCTCCTTCCAAAAACCTTAAAATTATAGCTCTTTCCTTCTGTTCCTGGCTTCTGTACCATCACCTTTGACCTTAAGGTCACCATAATAAATTAATCTAAAGTTGATTAATCTTATTGAGTCACTAACAATTAATTTGATTAACAAATTGTATCAAGCGAATATTTCTGCATTTGTTTGGTGCATCAAAAATGAACAATAACCTCAGTACCGGGAGCTGGTGAATCGCTTTGTGGCATGGTGTGAAAACACACCAAAAAAAGCGAGGTGATTGTTATTTCAGAAGAGACAAGAACAGGTTTTATCCTGTTAACATCATGGGAGAAGAAGTAGAGGTGGTGGAGGAGTATAAATACCTTTGTCTTCACCTGGACAACAAACTAGACTGGAGTTGCTCCTGTGCCGCCGTCTAGAAGAGATGTTATACATACAGGCAGAGTTTCAATGGATGGCGTAGATTGGACAATACTACTGGGGTGAAAAAATTCTGTCAAAGTTCTGAAATAAATTAAGCTGAGAATCAGGGTGTTCCCCATTTGACATATATACCTTTCAGATTTCAGATGATTTTTTTTCATTTTCTGTTATTTCCAACATCAGATCTCTCCGTCATTCACACTGTAAACAACTTGGATTATGAGTCACCAGTAATACTTAACGACCCCCGATGTTCGTTTACTCTGGATTGTTTTCTGCATCCATCCATTATAGCCCTCATTTGTCATCAGTATTGATCCAAATGAGTGATGTGTGTGTGTGTGTGTGTGTGTGTGCGTGATGACAGGATGCGCAGTTCACAGCAGTTTCCTGGCATTTAAAATGCCAGGAAACTGTGTGTTAAATACTGTGGGTTACATATATAGTGGAGCATGCTTTCTCTAAACCAATGGGATCTAAATGCTTTAAAAAAAGTTAAAATGCAATTGAAAACCTTGTTTTTTAGGAAAGTCATTGTTGGGTGTATTTTAATTTTTTATCATATGATTAATTCATTTGCATGTTAATTTATTTCCCCCTTTGCCTATTAACATAGTTTACATTTACACATAGGTGTATACATACAATTAGCTAAACACGGACAGAGCTAGAGTGTTTATATAATGTATTATCCTATCTTCATAAAAACTGCATTTCTTCAGTTTTACAATAACTTTTATCACTATTATCACTTTCATCAACTTGAACTATTGTCAGCCCCTTTTCTAGTATTTACATTTGCATTTTGTGTGTCTACTTCTGTCTCCTTGAACCCCAGTGGGTCTCGACAGATGGCCGCCCACACTGAGCCTGGTTCTGCTGGTTTCTTCCTCTTAAAAGGGAGTTTTTCCTCTCCACTGTCGCTACAACATGCTTGGTGTGAGGGATTGCTGAAGAGTCAATGAGTCGATGCAATCAACTGGTTTTCCTTAGATATAAAACTTTGCATCAATTTGCCTGTATGATCTGGTGAACTGTAAAGTGCCTTGAGATGACATGTGTTGTGAATTGGTGCTATAGAAATAAACTGAATTGAATTATTAACCCAATCTGTTCAGCTATGTAATGTGTGTCCAGATATGTAACTACAAAAGCAAAGTAAAATAAAAGACAAAATCAAACAAAAAACAAAGAATATAATGGAGAACTTCTTTCTTTTCCTTATTTCTTTATATTTGTTCTCAAGCATTTGCCCTATATTGTGAGATTTTATTATAAACCTTTATGGGCTTTCAACATGTGGAAACTTCTGGGTAAATCTGATGTGAAAATTTGCTTGAGCACAACATTGGGAATTCACTCCTGTATGCGTGTCTGCAAACGTCTGTGAATGTGTGTCTCCTACTGAGGTTAAGCCATAGTTCATAGGTATGGAAGTGGTGTTAGAGTTTAGTTTCATAGTTTGTCTGTGGACTGATAACTCCTCTAAAGGGAGCTGGTTTGAAACAGTCTTACTACATAAACGGAAGAGACATCATCTCACCATCGGTGCGGTTGGTTGGGAGGAAGCTTGAATCGTGTAATTTCCTGTCAGAAGCCCTCTGAAGAACAAAATGAGTTTGGCACTCTGGTCCGTGTCGCTATGAAGTGTGTGTACAGCTGAGACATTAAAGGCTAAACTGCGACTATCGCACAAAGACATTTGTGTTTCTCTGCTAAATGTTGGTGAGTCTACATTAAGGTGGAGCTGTGGTGTGACTGTTTGTGATTAACACATCCATCTCTCCTGACAGGGCATGGGGGCATCCTTCTCCTCAGGGACGTCTGCTGAGGCAGCCGCCCCGTCCTCAGGGATGTATAAGCTGGAGATCGAGCTGAAAAGAGGACACAACCTGGCCATCCGGGACCGAGGAGGTGCTTCCCTGCCTTTCTTTCTCTTCTCATCCTTTTTCTGCTCATGGCTCTGTAACACTTTTTGGTTTTTAGGCACCAGTGATCCCTACGTGAAGTTCAAGCTGGCTGGTAAAGAGGTGTTTAGAAGTAAGACCATCCACAAAAACCTGAACCCGGTTTGGGACGAGAAGATAACGCTGGTCGTGGACAGTCTGAGCGACCCTCTGTACGTTAAGGTAAAGGAAACAGACAGACTGCAAACATTAAGAAATCCTTGATTTAAAGGAGAATGAGGAATCAGTGCAGATGTTCTGTTGCTCTCCTACAGGTGTTTGACTATGACTTTGGTCTTCAAGACGACTTCATGGGTTCTGCTTTTCTTTACCTGGAGTCTCTAGAACAGCAGAGGTCTGTTAGATGTTGATGTGACTGTGTGCAGGGTTTTTACCAGCCGTTCAAACAGTGAATTTATCTCCTCATATCAGAGCTTCAGCCTTCCAGTGTTAGACAGACTCATTCAGTGTGTTTCTGTGATCAGTTCTAGTCTGTGTGGGTGATCTACTTGTCTGTGGTAGTTGGTGGTGGCATTTCTGTTTTGGTCTCTGCTGACCTTTCGTCTATTTGTGCCTGCAGGATTCATGATAGCTGCTTGTCTGTGTCTGCGTGCTGTTTTCATGCTGTCACTGTGTTGCTTCGTGCTGCTTCGTGTTGCATGTCTCTATGTGATCCAGTTGTCTGTAGTTTGGGTTAAAAAAAAAAAAAAATGAAATATTTGTATTTTGCCAAACGCCTCACTCACTGGAAAAAATCAAAATCTAGATAAGTCATTTTTTCTTAAAATAGGTGAATTTGTTCTTGTATTGAGAAAGTAAGTGAGACATATTACCAATGGTACAAGATAGTTTACATTTAAAATAAGAAATTAAAAATTACATTGTCATCTGTCAATCAATTTTTTTCAGTCATAGCATCTTGATTAATATGTCGCAGCTAATATACGCAACGGTTGAAAAAGGAAATAAGAATCATTTACTTTACCATTGAGTTCTTTCCCAGTGTTCATGGGGATGGACATCTCTGTCTTCGGCAGGCCTAACCAAACCTGTTTGTGAATCTTCCGCCACAATAATCACGCCCCCTTGGTAAACAACCAATTACATTCACTTTATTCACTCGTGTAAAGTCGTGCACTACTGGGGGGAATTCGGAAATGCAACGGTTGGAACAGCCGTTTCCCTAAGACTTTAAGGGTAAAAATCCTCATTCCATTGGCAAATCATCTTATTTATCTGCTCAAACTAAGGGTAATTACACTTAATTAAAGAAAAGTTGACTTATTTCTAGATGGTTTTAACATATCTGTTAGCTTATATTGCGGTGGAGTTTTTTCAAAAAAATGCAACAGCTACAGAATTTTTTATATAAACAGACAGATTTTAGGGCTGTGTAGGATCTGTATGACATACTCCTATATTACTCATACAGACTAACTACATTTAGGGATTAATTTATCATTTTTATGAATGATAAGTCTTAATAGGGATTTTATTTTTATATGTTAAATTGTTATTTAAAACAAAGCAGACTTTTATCGTGAAGACCAGGGAGTTCCCAAATATTTCAGCCTGTAACCTAAAAAATACTGGTGACGCCTAAAAATAGAAACATTGGTTTTAAAAACAGAGTGAAATAATTATATTACGCTTAATGAAATGTAATTATTTATTAAATAGTTTTAAACATAATTTAGATTATTAAAAGCAACATTAATTTTTAATTGTGCATTTTTTGATTTAATTGGGTTTTTTATGTTTGAATCAGGTATAAATGTTGCATCTAATTATTTCATGATGTATAATGTATTATATCTGATGGATCAGAAGATGATGATTGCGAAAGATATTTCATGACCTGTCACTTGGTGTCTCACGACGAGTCCCAATTTAGACCCTTTTGGCTATCAAAGATGGCGACTCAACATGGCGTATTCCATTAGGAGCAAGGCCGCCTATGTGTTTACTGTAAAAACCTCTCTTTCTAAGCTCACTGATGCAGTTGTTATCAGACTTTGGAAGAATAGTTTCAACTTTATTTTTGAGAATAAGAATTTCCTTTAAAACTAAATAAAACCTTATGTTTTACATCAGCATGTATATGTTTAGAGAGTGATGACTTGGTACAGGTTGGTTTGGTTGAATTATTGCCTAAACAAAATGGTGTTTAATTTCCAAACTTGCTGTATATACTTAAAATAATATTATTTAGATGCACTGATATTTGTTTGATGGTCAGAGAACTTTACACCCTGTTTGTAAAAAGGAGCGCTACCACAGCTCATTCATCCCTGCTGCAATCAGACTATAAAATGCAACACTACAATAGTAACAACTTGTGCAATTACTATTTTAATAACTTGTACAATAACCTGTTTCATTAAGTTTGATACCCTGTGCAATAGTTGTATAGATACATACCCATCTATGTAAATGCCCTGTGCAATAACCCTGTATAATAATGCTGCTTTTTAGAAAAAAAAAGAAAAAAGAAGGTACATAGTGTAGATATTACCCCCATGCAACTTTTCTTCCTTTGGCACCTTCTTCTTGACTATTTGAGCCGATGCAATGAGTAAATTTCTCCAAAGTGAGATCAATAAAGTTAATCAGTCGATCAATAAATTTAGATGTGATAAAAATAAAAAAAAACGAAACATTTTTGTAAGCAGGCAATCATTTTTCCTAATGCAAACAAACATACAAACAAACGTTTAGTCCCAATAAAACCCCAGCGTTCAGTTTTAGGTTGAAAATAACATTAGTTTTGTTTTGTAAAAATACAAAAACATTGCTTGATCTTTTTAAACCTACCTGACAATGAAATAAACTGAAAAAGTGGAAATAATGATTATAATTTTAAAGTCAGTTCATTTTGGAGGGGGGTTATAAACATGTTGTCCTGTTTTTAATTTGTTCTCACTTTTTGTAAATCCTTTTTGATCTAAACCAGCTTTACGACTAGAAACAGCTAAATGTTTGTAGCTCCATTTTGAATATAATTAGAATTTGAAAAATAGCTTTTTTGTTTATTGAGCTAAACATCTAAACCAGATCTGGTCAGAGTAAAAACTGCTTTTTTTTATAATGTAGCAGTGATTGAGCACAAAGACATGCTTGTGTGTTGTAGGACGATACCTGTGACTTTGGTGCTGAAGGACCATCAGCTCCCCAATGAGGACCTGGGCTGCCTGGAGCTGGCAGTAACCCTGACGCCTAAAAACAGCCCCATAGAGGAGCAGCGAGACCCAGCGGTACGTACGCTTCCTCATCGCTTCAGATACTTTGGATGGAGGGGGGTGGAGGGGGGTTCCTCACAGGTGGAATAGCAAAAAGTTTTCCCTACTTTTCAACCAACTATATCCAAAGCTTTACAACTGGTATAAAAGAGATTGCAGAAATAAAAATTTAAGCTCAGGGAATCAGACAGTAAAAAATGTTTGGTCTAAGTGACTATAATTTAGAATTATATTCATATTTTAGAATTCTTTTGGATAATCCTGCAATTTTTTTGTTAATTGCAGGATTATCCAGCTGAGATATGCTCACTTAAGGTCAATAAAAATTTATTTAGAGTCTAATCTTTAAAAAAAAAAACTTTGCTAGTATAACTAAAGCTTTATCTGGGGTTTCATGACTATCCTTTAAAGTATATAAAGTATTAAGCAATAGCCTTGGTAATGAGATATATTACGGTGTTTTGAAGTTCTTGTGGCACGAGATCTACACCTCTGTTTTATTACTTTGCTTTCATTATTTCGTCTTTTAAAGTCGTAGGGAAATCATATTCAAAAGTCAAATCCTTTCGACTTAAACATGTATATAAATGCACTCTTTATCCGATAATATTGTCCCAAAATGTAAAAAATTTCTATAAAAAAAAAAAACCCGGCCTAAAAACCGGGGGGTTTTTTGTGTTATTTTTGTTATCTTCTGCAGGCCAATTAGTTCTATGTTAGCCTGAACACCTAAATTCGGCCAATATTTGCAACGGTCATCTGTCAATCCGATTTTTTCAGTCATAGCATCTTGATTCATATGTCACAGCTAATATACGCAACTGCTGAAATAAGAAATAAGAATCATTTCCTTTCCCGTTGAGTTGCGTCCAAGTGTTCACGGGGATGGACGTCTGTGTCTTCAGCAGGCATAGAGCTAACAGAACTGGCAGCGTTGCGAGGCAAGGGCTCAAACATGTACGGCTGGAAGCCTTCTACACCAAACCAAGCTTCTGCCGCCCTGGCGTCCTCTTCCACAACATCTTCGTCCCCGCTTTCCTCCTCTGAATAAAAAATGTATGACGGAGGAGACTCATCCACGACCTCCGACTCTAAACTCTCCTCCTCTTGCACGTTTCCTCTGTCCATAGCGTTCCTTGACAGTGTCGTTTCTCAGTCACCTATTTAGTGCTATTTGGTCTTAATGGAATTTCCCATTGGGAACCTACTAGCACTAAGTTGCTAACTGGTTAGCAAGATGCTTCTGACAAACCGGCCACAATTAGACTTGCTTGCAAACCTTCCGCCACAACAATCCCGCCCCCTTGATAAACAACCAATCATATTGACCTTATTCACTTTGTGTAGAGTCCTGCACCGCTCAGGAGAAATCAGAAATGAAACCGTTGGAACAGCCATTTCCCTATGACTTTATACGCAGTTTGTTTAATACTCACTACTTTGATCATTACAGCTGTAAAAGGTGCAGCAATACCTGCAGCAAATACAGCATCCTTATTAGATGCAGAAAAATCTAAAAGCCTAAATAGAAAATCTGCGTTTTAATCACACACCAATTTTTTCTCCTTTAACCAGTTTACAGGTTAAGCTGAATTGATTGTCGACTGAAGAAAAAACTTTTATTAGATTCTCTTTTCTTTTTTAACTGGTGAAACTAAATATTTCTGTTTCCTGCAGCAAGGCGAAGTTAAGACCTATCGGTGGAAACCTTATGTAAATAAAGTGAGTCCTGAGGTATTATAGCTTGTAGAGATGCCTTTAGATGAATGCTTCCCCTGCTTCACCTCGTAGTCTTCCTTTTCCTATTGTGGCTGAGTGGTGTAACAATATGGAAAGTATTGCGAAGACAAAATTTTCACAAACTCATGCAAAGGAAAACATGATGCAAAAGAGATATGTTCCAACCACAGAAATTAGAAAACAACAGAGTACAAATGCTGTGTAAATTTATTGAAACGCTTTAAATAAGCACATAAATGATGCTCACACACAAGCTCAGCAACACACCCACAGGAAAAATTCAGTAAAAAAGTAAAAACAAATAGAAAACTGGAGTTAGGTTCTGCAATGCAGAACAGCTCCAGACCACTAGGGGGAGTCGATCACTGTCAACAAGACTGTTGACATTACTACCAATTAATATCTACACTCATAAAGGGCTGGTTATACTCCCACAGCAGTGTATTGCAGTTAACTTGTTGCAGGTGTGACGCAGATATTTTTGATTTATGCCCAGATTTGAAGCGTGGTCTGTGCTACGTTATTCCACGCCACAACGCAAGAGGGACAATCATGAACTATCTAGGATTGTGGGTGTCGGTTTGACGAGTTGTTTTCCGTGTACAACCCCTCATCCAACAGCATGATGACACACAGTTCACCAATGAGTGTTCCCCAAAGACTGGCCATAGCGCTGCGTGTTTTGGCTTCGGGTGCAAACCGACAGACCGTCGCCGGAGCGTAGCTTCCTGCACGGTGTCTGGGATAGTGTCCAAGGGGTGCCAGGTGTTGTGGATGGCACTACAGCCAGAGTTTCTGCCATTAGGTACCAAACAGGAAATATGCATAGTGTAGACTGGATGTAGAATTGACCAATCAGAGGCCTCCTTACTTTCCTCCCTACAATTTTGGGGAGGTACACCAGAGTGTCTGCAGAAGTGACACAAACACAGAGGTTCTTAGCATAAAGCAGGCTTAAAAATGACTTAATGAATACATACACAAAATTTGAAAATGTTTGGTTGATTCAACTAAAATCTGATTTTGTTGACCTATATTTGTCATTGCATTGAATTAAGTTAGAAACAACTAACTCAACATTTAACCCAATTGTATTTACTTTAAGAGCAGAAACCATTTTTGTTTACAGACATGGATGTATGTTACATGGTCTAAATAACCTCAACATAGAGCTGCCTTTCATCATGGATCTTGGCATCAAGGTAACTTATGGTTTCAACAGTGTGAACTTGCGCAACACCTAACTCCTCCATCTCTCTTAGGTTCATTCACACTGCAGGCCTTGATGCTTAATTCCGATTTTTTTTGTGAAATCCAATTTTTTTGCGTTGCCGTTTACATTTCCAAATATATGCGTATATATTGCAGTCATACAACGCAAGTGTCCCGCATGTGCAGTAGAGGACGTAATGACATCACAAGCCAGAGTGCTCTGTGTTTACGAAAGTAAACATGGATGGTAGTGCCGGAGCGCATCTAGCGATCTTTCCCAACCATAAAGACACAATCTTTTCAAGATGGTTTAACATACATACTGCTCTCTGCATCATCGTCTGCCAAGGTTGTTGTTTTTCTTGCTGCTTCTTCATAGCAAGACCCAGCATAGTGACCTTTGTCGGGTATTAATGGCTTTCAGGTCGGATGAATGTGACCTGGCTTTTCAGACACAGGTCGCATATGGGCCAAAAAATTGGATTTGGGTCACTTCAGGCTGCAGTGTGAACGTAGGTCAAAGATGTAGAATTACCGGCCATGCGGCTTGTTATCTGGATAAAGTGGTCCAGCAGTTAAAGGAAATAATCTTAGCAAGGACCAATTTTCATGAGCACTGCAAAGTAACCTAAAAATCTTGAGTTCACTTGAAAGACTGTCCTTGTTCAAACATGTTGTGTTACATTTATTATATATTACTACATAATTCTGGAAGCAATTAATATTATTTTATTTTTCAAAGAGGGACTTAATTTTTTTTTTGTGTGTGTGTGTGTGTGTGTGTGTGTGTAAAGGCAAATCCTTAGCTCAAAGATGAGCAGGATTCCCTCTAATAGCACATTTTAAGTTTTTACAAAAGATCCATATTAAGACTCTGTGATTGTCTCCCCCTAGTGGTCTGAAGCAGGTCAATTATGCAGAGCTACTTTGCAGCTTTAACAGCAGTGGTTTTTGCAGCCTGTAGGATTTTTCACTGTTTGTGCTTTTTTGTTTTTGCAGTACTTTTTGTATTTGCTGCATATATGCATTTATATATTTGCAGTATGCTTCCACAGCTCGGCCTCTGCACTGTCCTCATCAGACTGTAGAGCAGACATTTAGGTGGCCTCTGGGAAAGAAGCTCTGTATCAAACCGTCGCATTGTCCTATTGATTTGTAGAAGATTTTGTTTGTAGAGGAAAGCAAGATCGATACCTTGCCTGACTTTTATAAAGATGTCTGTGATTTCGACAACCTTACAAAATGACTCCCCTTATATCTGCAGCTGGGACTGGCTACTCTATAGAAGAGGCCTATTTTAACAGGCTGTGTGGGTGTTTCATTCCCCTTGTCAAGAATCAAACTTTTATGACTGCAGGGAAAGGCTGGAACATGGATGGACCAGTAAACCGAGTTAGTTTAAACATCATCCTGATTACTGCATGAGCAGTGCTTACTTATTTATACCAAAATGCAGACATCAAAGTACAAGCTCCATTTACACACCACTTCTAGATGGCCATTTCCTTGCCAGTGCAATGTGGAAAATACCGACACCAAAGGGGTTGATCCACAGATTGCTTCTAACCTGACAAAAAGGAAGATATAACAGTTTGGAGATGGGCTGTGATGTTTATAAAAAAAGTTAATTCTGTAGTCTCAGCCATGCTGCTAGCTCCTTTTATTAGCAGGCAGCACTGATCGGGCTATTTAACTTATTTTAATCAGTTTACGTTTGACCAAGATCAAATAAGTTTATCTTATAAAATAATCACAGAATACACAAAGACCTCATACTTAACAAGTGGTAAAATATCTTGTTTGAGCATTTGCCAATATTGTTTTGGACATTTATGTGTATTTTTTTTTTGTATCTGGGCTTTGGAAACAACTGGAATGTTCTGACACTGCATTGGCTAACATATACATAGCTTTAAATATGTTGGTAAAAACAAAAAAATTAATGTTTCATGGTTTTTATCTGAAGCATTTAGCTGATGTGTCAAGCTAATGTGAGCATTTGTTCTCTTTATTTTGATATGACCTGTTTATGATTTGGTTCAGTTGCGGGTGATTTTATTCAGCCAAATGCTTTTAAAACACATTGCTTTGATGGTTCAGCATTTTTGCTTTGATTTGAATGTCGTTAAGTTTAATAACTAGTGTTTCAGCTGCACTGTACAGCTTTCCTAAGACCTTTGGGAGATCTGAGTCATGAGATCTAGAGCGGATGGCATCCCACAGAGAGAAAGGAAAATAATTGAGAATGGTGAAAAAACTGATTATTTGTGGAAATATAGACTTATCTGTTCTGTAAGAGAACAACCAAGAGTACAGTTTTATATTTCAATATATAAATATGGTCCTGATTTTGTAGGAAAGTCATGTTGCTCCTGTAAAGAGTTTCTTCAAAGACTCGTGATTGTATTGGTGTTAAGAAAGACTGGATCAGGACACCATGCTGACATCCTCTCTGCATTTCAAAATTTTAAAAAACAATCCACTGGACTTTGATTCCAAGTTTGAAGAAATTTTGCTTCCCATCCAGGGAGCTTTTTTAAATCAAAATGTCAG